ATAAAGATATATATTATATATAACAAAAACTAATAGTAAGAGGTTTTCTTGTAAATCTTCTGCCGAGTGGCTTGTCCAATTCATTGATGCATTTTCCAAGCGACCTGAGGGATTGAGCTGCATCAGGCTACCACATCCATACTTTCAATAGAAATAAAAGAAATGAAATTCTTTCATCGGCTTTTGAAGAATATTTCTTGAGTAAGCAAATTTGATGATTAGTATTCAGTAGTCAGAAATAGTGGATTTCCAAGCAAAAATTGTTTGTTTCTTTCATGAAGGTCGGGAACATGTATCATTTTCAGTATTCTTACTGTTGAACTGTTTTTCAATAAGAACAATCATTTTGATACGCAAAGAAACTTTTCTTCTTAAAATGCATTATACAACAATATAATAAAGTTTTCATCAAAAAATTTTGATAGAAAATAAAGATCATCACTATATTAACACAGCTTAAATTCATTTTTAAAAACATTATGCATATCACTTTATTTGGATATTTTGTTATATATGCATAATTACATGTAAAGTCTTGATGTAAATCAAATGTAAATTATACATTTTTGTAAATTTTCTCTTAAAGGTTTAAGTTTGAAGGTATGCGGGTATCCAAATTCGTCGCATCCATTGAAATTGAATTTCAGAGAAAAGCACAATTGGTACAAATGCTTCCCCATTATTTTTAGTTGACCATGACAAGACTACCGAAACGAGTTCACCGAGAGAGCGAGAGCGAGAGCGAGAGAACACGAGACAGTGAGCAACAGAAATACTGTAAGCGAATAAAAAACAACCGAACGAAAAGTAAAATATGAAATGCGTAAAAAATAAAAAATTAGTTTTTGGTATTTTAAAAAGACCAGAAATACATTTTTCAATAAAACAACATAAAATCTAACGACAGTTAAGGGCATGGCGCCTAAAAGTAGATAACTGTAATGCATGTCCTGATGAGAGGGAAATATTTCATTTTCATCGTGGTTAGGCAAAATCATATATAACTGTAAAAAAAAAACAGTCATCAAAGTCTAAACTTAATTATTTACATATGTTTTTATACATACATACGTAGGTCTCTTAAAACTCACCGCCTTCAGACGTCGAGCTTCTCACCCACTGGCAGCGTTTTTTTTTTATTTATTTTTATTCGCTTTTCTATGTCATTGCTGTGACTGCTCAAAAGTGACCTCCACTTTAGTGGAAACGAATTGTATGTATTTACATAGAAACGTGCAACCAAAAGTGTTTCGCTTGCCACAGCACAAACTATGTTTTGTATATATGTGAATATGTATGTACATTTCTATGTATATTCACCTTTTCTACTTGTCTGTTTTGTGTTGTTGGTTTACACCTTTAAAGTGGAGATGAGAGGAATGTAAACAAGAATGAGAAAGAAATAATCAAAAACGAAACAGTTATAAAAAGCATGTGAAGCTCACGTGCAGAGAGAAAATTACGATGTTGCCTTGTGGCTATACGATAAGCATACCAACGCACACAAGCATAAAATGGTAGGTACGCATCGGGTATTCAAATAATCAACGCCAGCCATGTTTATAATGCGCTAGTGCATAAGTTTTAAATAAAATAGCTGTAAAAACTAATGGAAGCCGAGATAGATGAGATAAAAACGAATTATATATGGATGTATGTATAGAGTTTAGATGGCTACGAAAACAAATAGCGTAAAGATAAAACGCAGCTTAAAAGATACACACAAAAGCTCGAATAGGAACTTGAAGAAAAGAAATAGTGCTAATAAGAAAAGCAAAAAACGAACCAAGATTTGTTAACTCTACTCTTTGACACACCAATTTGACAGGAATTCACAAATATTACGCACCAACTCGAAAGGAAATCGTAGGACTACATTGCCATGTATTATAAGCAAGTTTATCAAAATGAAAATGACTGAAAAATACACCCATTAAAGGAGTGAAATGCAAACGAAATAAATACGAAAAGTAAACTTTAAATTTTGGGTGATTCGAAGTTACCTTTTACTTTTCGATATGAACTGTCAAATCATGACAGTTGAAAAAATTAAAAAATTGTTGGGCCGTTTCAAATTTAACTTCCTTCTCTTTAAACACTTTTCCTGCCCGTTATATAATGTGGCTGTTAAATACAGGCGGTCAAAGCACTTGTTAACAACTTTTTTCCGACAGCCACATCTGTTCTGTTTACAAACAGAAAGAACTTATTTACAGAATTTACTTATTTTCTTTTGCCATAATATATAAATTAATGGAAAATATACGGGTATTTTATATTCATGAGCTTGAGGAAAGGTTTGTAGAAGCCTCTGAGCCCCATATTGCTAATAGAAACTTAAAAGAATTCACTTTATTTACGTTTAGAACAGCTAATTTACGTTGTTCCTTTCTTCCTCTTCGCAGCGCCGCCAACTTTTATCTAGTGTGAAATAAGAGGTGATTCTCGCGTTACAGGCAATCGAAAAAACGGACCTTAGTGTAGCAAACCTCGAATGTAATTTGATTTATCAGTTTTTAATAATCAAAATAATTGCTATCAAAATAAGTTATATCAGGAATTTTGAAAAAGAAGTATTTCAATTCAAACCATTCGATTTTATGGACAAGAAATATTTGTTTTTATATCGGTTCCTAACACCTCATCTATTGAGCAAGTAGAGCAAATGCACATCATCGAAATCATCTACCTGACGTAAAGCACAGGGAGATTGGTGATAGATGAATTGGTTAATTGCGATAAAAGGCTGGTTGTCTCTAGCGCTGCAATTGAGTACATGTAAGACATAGAAACGGTACATTTGTCCTTCTACAATTGTTCCGTCATTGCTTCATCACCCTCATCATTGCTTCTGAAGGCCTTTACCACCTCTTAATGGCCTTGCATGAACATTTTTGCAATACTCTGCCGCATTCGTATGTTTTACGATATTTAATTTACCTATTTGTTAATTTCATAAAATATGTTAATCTAGCCTTTCAAACGCTCTTTCGCTAAATCGACTAATCAATTTTAATGGCGAATCGGAAATGGATCTCGGAAGTGGAATACAGAACATCGAACATCCCTGGCTTTTAGCGATTTTACTCGCTTAACGTCGTTGTTAGTAGATTGGAGTAGTGGCACAAAACTCAGTCAAGGCATTAATGTTTACAAATACAAAAATATGGACAAATATGTATGTAAATCAATATTATAAAAAAAGTTTAATCCCTTGCATTAGTTGAAGCTAAATTACAACTTTTTTATCATTCTTTAAACATATAATTTGAAGAAAATACAAAAATTCACAACAGAATGTCGCGCGGTTTTGTTATACTCATATAGGTATATTTATAATTCGTTCCCTATAGCCGTTTTTATCTTTTTTCTCTACGAATAGAGGGACGAACAGCTTAAAGATTACAGCTAAGTCCGGTAAACAATATCTATCGAGGCGCAATTTGAAAAAAAAAAATGTTTTAAAATAATTTTAAGTGTTACCTCGGTTTTAAACCCATTATTATACGAACGACTGCTTCTTATTCGGCTAGAGACGCCACTAGTAAAAATTTATGGATCCCAAAAAGTGTCGCGAGTTAAAACACAGAGAATTTTGTTCAAGTGATGATTTTTTTGTTAATCTGCAGCACTGATTTTTTTGAATTATTTAGATTTTCGAAGATATTTTAATAATATCGATATCGATAACTTCGAGTATCGAATATAAATTTTTAAAACAACCGTGGAACATTATTTGTTAATTAATTTTTGATTTATTGCCTTCAATCATCTGCTGCGATTATCTGCAATTCGCTTCGATATTAATTGAATATAGTCATACATATACAATACATATCTAAGTACAGCATTAACATTCCGCATTGAGCTTTTAATGAAAGAATGAAAGTTGAAATAGTTATGTGTATATGTATATGTATAGGAGGAATATCTATAACAACTCGGCATAGTTCGCGAAGCTTTCACATTTCCACAACCGCCATTGTTATTACTGTCGTTGTACTCATGATGGTAAATATGTATTCATTTTGGCCAACTCTCAAGTTCTCTTTCGCATGCGCCACCCTACGGCTTGCGCTTAACCTTGACACACTTACCCAATAAGCTCATATACCTCGAACTTGCCACTGCCTTCGTAAATAGAGGTACACAGATACAACTACAGATGTAACTGACAAGTGGCTAAGAGGGAGGATTGGGAGAAGTACCCTTCAATGCAATACTAGAAACAACAAATGCAAACAAAGAGAAAAAAGAAACGATAAGAAATGAAGAAGGGTAGTATAGTAAATAAAAAGAGCAGTTGAATGGAGGAGAAATAGAAGCGGCCCGACAATAATCTCAACTTCGGTTGATAAAAAATGTAGAGTAGTATTGCAAGCACTTTCCCTTCCTTTGAGTATACGCAGAAGAAATGGAAAGCGAAAGAGAAAGAAATTAAAAACCAGAAAGTGTTTTAGTTAAACAATTTCTATTTGGAGCTGTATTCAACTCATTGGGAGCATATATTCAATTTAAACTACCTAAAAAAAAAACCAACTGTAAGTATGGTGTTACTTACCAGACACCTTAAGTGCATAAATAGAGCAAAGATAATGGAAACCGCAGATTATAGCTGTTATCACAGACATTATCAATATTGCATACCCGTATATGTACCTCTTTCATCAACTCATTTGGCGAATTCTACCATGTTTTTATATATAAGTTGATTGAAGGCGTCCTGCCACTCCTACAATATTACTCCAGGAGTCTACTGCAACAACAGCTAAAAGGTCTTTCTGATTTGTTCTGCAATCTTAACAGTAGCCGCACGCTTAACTTCAAGAAAGCAACAGCAATCTTGCAGACGAAAAGAACATCCGAGATGATATTTAGGCTTCGTTTAACCACATAATTTAAAATAGCATAATTCGTGGTTTTAAACTAATATTGGGAATAACAATATTTGCCAAACCTCATTTAATATAGTTATGTCCACCATAAGGGTATTTACTCACCTCATTTCCAATTGTCATGATCTTCACGACAACTTCATCCTTCTCAGCATCATGTGATACAACATCGCCCGAAGTCTCACGTCCATTGAAGGTCAGAAAAACGCGTTGACCTGGCTGTAATTGTATGCCAATTATGGAGCGGAAACCCGGACCTATTAGATCCGATTCACGAAATTCTTTAATCATAGCGTTGCGTCGCAAAGCTTGTGCTGGACTCAAATGTGCGCTGACCGCGCGACGTGCTTCAATTATTATTGACGGTTTAGATGGCGATCCAGATAGGGAAGTGTCCGCTGAGCTTTGCATGGCTTGTGTTTTGAAATCGAAACGTACTATAAACTTAGTATTGGCCGTGAGATTTGTACCGTTTGTTGCATGAGATGTGTTGGAATCACTCGCTGTCAATAGTGACGAGGAAGTGACTGTGGCACTAGGTGGTGTCTTAACGTCTTGTATAACACCCGAATACCAGAGACCGTCTGGCCCTGGTGCACAAACTTTTGTACCGATTATTGAGCGCTTGGCTAAACGACGACCAGTGGACATTGTTTTCAGGGAAATTTTTAAAATATTAGAGAAAACGAAAATAAAGAAATTTTGAAAATTAATTAAACGACGTTTCAACACTTTACTTTTCAATTAACATGCATTTGTTTATATTAAAAACAGATTCTTCTTCTTTAAAAATACCACAAATTTTGTACAAGACATTAGTTTTACTAAAGGGTGTATTTAAAACTCATTTCAGCTTTGCTAAAAATATTATTAGAGATCGTCATTATAGTTTTATTGGGAACACATTTTGACTTATTTATTATTGATTTATGTTTTATATTATATTCACTGCTGTTTGGCATCAACGGTTATATATAACATTTTCACCACAGATTCTTTAATTACTTTTGAATTTTCTTCTTCTTAAATTTGTTGGCAATTTTACCAATTTATTACGCTTTTAGATATATACGTAAATATTTCCTCAAAATTTTATTCGCTTCTTAAATTTGTTTATAATTTAATATGAATTTATTAACATTTTCACCGGGACAGACACTACGATAATTTATGTATGTATGTATGTATGTCACAACTGAATAATTAATGCGCGAAACGTCTGTATTTTTGATTCGAAAATTTAAACCACAATATTGTGTATAATTGAGTAGCCACAAATTGATAAATAAACGGTTTTAATTTTTCCCATACACACCGCTTTCAGTGAAATTCTATGAATTGCTTCAAAGCTCCATGTGGCTTTATTAATTTTTTATTTTGTAAATTGCTTAATCTTTTTTGTTATCTCAATGGAGTTATGATATTTAAAAAACTTCTAGGCCTCTGGGCACATATATATAAGTTAATAAATATATATGTACATATATTAACATATATACAAATTCACAATACTTAGTTATACACGTATATATCACGAAATGATTTTCGCACTTTTCCTTGTTATTGCTTCTGATTTATGCTATTTTACGGAATTCGTTTTCAATTTTTCACTTTTAATTTCCTTCTCTTGATGATTTAAGAATTCTTCACTTTAATTTATTAACTTCGCAAGGTGGTTTCATCGTTGACGCTTGAGTTCTCAGTGAAAGTTCTTGCTATTTCGAAACTAATATTTACTTGGCGAACCGCATTCAGTGTTATTTATCGAGTAAAACGAATGATAACTACGTATTAAGCATTAGCGTATAAATTTTAAGAACTTAATTGCACTTTCACTCACATGTACATTTCTTTAGTCTTCTTTATTATTCACGAATTTTCATTGTTTTTTGATAATTCATATAATTTTAAAGTTTGGAAGGTTTTCACTGTTCACTTAAATATTAGAGTCTCTTTCTCTCTCCCACGATGGCAGGATGCCACAACTCTCAATAGACCAAACAGATTTTGTGAAAAAAACCATACGCTCTTCGGAAGTGAAACGCTTTGCTACACCGTGGCGAAGCGTTGAGAAGTGTGATGGTCCACCAAGATTCGGTGATTTTTTAGTAATTACACTAACCGGTTTTACAGTTTTTAAATTGTTTTCCAACGTTTGTTGATATGATATACGAGAAAAGTTCATGTCAACATTTTTATTATACTTTTTTATAAGATCTCCTTTTATATTCGGCTCTTGGGTGGACGAAAACAATTGAGTTGATTCACAGAGAGGAAGGTTGGACGCATATTTGGTGGCTTCGAAGCCTACAACAACAGCTACATTTTCCGCTCGTTTCGGCTTAAACGTCGTTCTCTGTTTTCTCGGCTTATTCCTAAGCATAATATACCGATTTTCTTACTATCGTGCCTGTGCTTAACAGCCTTTTTTTAACAGTTTCTTGAAGTGAAAAATACGCGAGCACTACAACGCTTGCTTTCAGTCGAAAAAGCACAACTAATTTCGTTGTATTTTACTAAAAAAAAAAGTTCAAAATGGAAGTATTTCACTACGAAAATTTCACCGGGTTCTATGTCTGCCTGCAATGTGATGCAATTGTGTAATATTCTTGTCTCACTCTCGTTTTGTGTATGGCAAGAATATTATTTGTTTAAGTTCACAAATGCTATTAGCAATTACCTTTGCTTGCTTGTATCTTGTATAATTTCTTTTTATTTTTTATTCACAACGCTTATTGTTGTTTTACGTACGCTTCCCAGCTGACTTGACAGAGTGTAAATATATTTATGCACGTATGTACGTATACATATTTATGTGGCAACAGTTGATGAAAAGTTTGCACTCGTCCGCTGTTATGCACTTTTTATTTAATTTTGATATTTAGCAATTGCTGGGGGTGCTATTGTACACCGCTCAAAACGGTATTTTTATGTCATTCAAATAAACTATTACAAAACGGAAGTCAAAAGCGTCCGTTTGTTTTTTTTTTCTGTTTTTGGTTTTTTATGCCTTTATACTTTTTATCGCATTGCACTTTAAATCACCAGCACCTTATGTAGCTCACACATACATACGTATATTAAATTCTATAGATTTTAATATATTGCATCGAACTTTTCAATTCAATTTATTTTTAGGTAATCTTTATTGTGTTCTGCTTGCTACGATAGCATCTAACTGTTATTCAAATGACGTATGTATTTCACATAACCGGCAAAACGTAAAAATATTTACATTTTCGCTTATCAAATAGTCACAAAACACAAATGCACATTTACACCCAGCGTATTCCTGGGGTGGTTGGCGTTTAACCTTTAACAGCTGAGTTGATTTTCCTACGCCACACTCAATTTGCCGGCTGATTAGTCAGCTCTAGTGTTAATTACGCGCTGTAAATTTGAATGGATTGTGCTAGTTTTTCTATTATTTTATTAATTTAATCATATTTTGATCCGTATTTGCATTTAATGATCAGAGAACTCGCACAATATACGTTTTTATTTTTGCCCGGGTAGCTTTTGTTTTTGGTCGAGTTAAAGTAGCAACAAATTATCGTCCATGCACGAGAGTTGACTATCAACGACTGAATTCTTCGCATGTGAGCGCTGCTGTTCGACGTTGCGCTGTTACGTCGCCTAACAGCCAGTCGCTCCATGCCCCGCAAAGTGTTGTCAAAACGCATAAGCTGATAGTCGTGTTATGTATATACACACATATATTTATGTATATACATGTATACTCGTACACTGCTGTTATGCCGTGCTGTATTGTGTTGTGTTGGAACGCGACATATACAGCTGCGAACAGGGAGCTGCGCCAACGACGCTGACGCCAGCAATGACGATGTCGATTTCGACGATGACGACGTCGTAAAGCAAAGAAAATTTGAATGAGCAGCAATTGGCTGGGCCGAATGCTTTATAGCTTTCAGGAACGGAAGCAAATTTATGTTCAAGCTTGAAAATATGCCGATTCGGAGTCAAGTTCATCGAAATGGGAAGTTCACATCTAAGGCCGGATTTCTTTTCTTAAAATTCGAATATGTTTTTATGTGGCGAGGCCCAAACCCGCCGCACTATCACGTTATAGGAGCATTTAACGAGACGCCTATATCGATTCAGAGTGGTTACACTGAAACTCCCTGTCTTACTACCTTGACACAAGCGTTCCAGACGGTCTGATTATGGCATTCTGATATAAATACTTAAAAAAATATACAGTACATACATAAACACTATATATGTATAACACCTAAATTTGATATGTGACGGCTAACAAATTTATTTGCTTCTCATCACCAATGTATGTACGAGTATATGTAAACATAACACAATGCAATGACTGTAAAGATTGACCTGATCTAGTGTATGCATTTTTTGATGAATTTCATTATTTAAACTTGAAGTTGAAGAAGTGTGAAGTTGAAGAGCAAAATGTAGGACTCGGATGCAACTTAATGTTGGTAGATTAGAATATGATATCATGTCATGAAGGGTATAAAAACTGCAGCAACAGAGCGTCAACACACAAACAGCTATGAGAATACTGCTCTCGTAACACACACGTAGAGTGTTTTGAATTGAAACACTACCGAGAAATGCAACAGCGTAGATACTTTTAGTTTGCTACGTCAACAGTACAAGCCGACGCAGACATGAGATCGTGAAAATGTAAACAACTTGGTGAATTCCGAACCATTCCATTAACTTGTTTGTAATCACCATTTGTAGGCTTTGGCAACAACAATCTCAGCACACGCTCTCTTTGCCACCTGATTCGTATGCAAGATTTCCGGTTGTGGTGCTCTCCACAACCACCACCACCACCACCACCACCATCGCAAATCGCTGCGAGCGCTCTTTTTCGCCAAACTTATAGGGCCGCTCGTACAACGGTACCGCAAACAGTGATATCTTGCTTAGGTCTGAGTTTCATTTCTACAGCTGTTTAGCAAAATACCTGCCAGCTTCAGAGTATTCATACAGAGTTAAATACTACGCAACAAGGAAAATCGGAAAATGACATTCATACATACATATGTACTTATGTATGTGTGCAGGGAAATGTATCTATTTGGTTCAGGTCTTTCTTTTGAAAGTACAACTGTACTCGGCAAAGTTCAAAACTGTGATAGTAATTACGCAAAATATTTTTTTATCCTACATATATGTATGTATGTTGGTATATGTACATACATACTTGTTTTTATGTTTAACTTAACGTAAACAAAAATGATGTTGCCAAAATTTTACTTTTTGAAAACACAGGCCTTCAAGCTATTTTTCAACATTGATTTGGCGCTTTGGGCCCGCTGAAGCGATTTTGCATATGAAGGGAACTACAGGTTATCTTAACCGCCTACGAACGGCCGATGGACTTTTATGAAAAGCATTTATTTTATTACAATAGAAAAATTAATTTTCTCTAGGACTCAGGCAGTGATCTTCCTAATGGTAGTATGTGCTGCTACTCGGTCTCCACGGACACCACCCCTGCGCTTGTGAACAGTTCACTCGATTTAATAAATTGTTATAATTTTTCCATTCATGCGTTTTCTGTTCATTTCCGTTAAATAAGATGCCTCAATCAGATGGAAAGCAAAAACTCACAAAGCTAATGCTCCAACGTCGTGAGTCCAAGTCATACAGGCGACTAGATTAAAGGACTGGCAGAAACGGTTAGGTCCTTGGCATAATCACTCTGCGGTATGCCATTCATGAGATTATACATATATATATTTATATCCATACTTAGATATCTCAATTGTTTCTGTCAATGTGCATTCACTTAGATAGACGGTTAACTTGGAAGCGGCACATTTCTGCCAAAAAGATGCCGATGAAGCTTAATTTTTCTACTTTATATTGGCTTCAAGCGAGAAAACTGGGCTCAGCCTTGAAAACAAACAAATGTCTTCTTCATAATATATTATTATTATTGTAAAACTAATATGGCCGTATGGAATCCAGTTATGGGGTACAGCTTGCACCACAAATCTTGATATGAGACTAAATTTCAATCGAAAACATTGAGAACAATAACAGGCGCACCACGATATATGCACAGAGATCTAAAAATACGCACAATCAAGGGGATTGAAATCGTTACAAAAAAGTACAACGCAAAACTGCACCATCATCCGAACCCTTTGGTTGTCCGCTTGGCCTCCAACACAAGTCTAACGCGCCTGTGGAGAAGGGACTTACTACCTCAACTCTATCAAGTTATTTTCGACGACCGTCGACCGCACGAAAAACTGTACAGTACGCTGGCAGAATAGTTTTGAACGAAGCGTTCATAGAAAGGACGTATAACCGTTGAATAAGTTTGGTTGTAAGTCTCTTAATATTCTAAAGTAATTGGATCACTTCCTACATTATGGTAAGCTTTATGTTAGATCGTCCCGCGTTAAAAGCTGGAAAAGATGAAAAATTTTTACTTTAAAACTAATATTTTCATAATGAAATCATTCCAGATCTAAATATATTTGTTTCCAAATCACCAGTAGTGGAAAACCAACAAACAATATTCATACACATGTATGCATGGCAAAGTATGTAGGGTGAATTTGTTAATTCTTCTTTTTTTTGGCGGTCGAATTTTCCGACCGTTATGCCGAAAATACCTTTTTTGCCCACCCTGGCGTTGAAGTCGCCAAGCACAATTTTGACATCGTGGCAGAAGCAGCGTTCACAAGTATGTTCAAGACGCTAATAAAAGCCCTCCTTGGTCACATCGTCTTTCTCTTCCGTCGGGGCGTGGGCGCAAATAAACGATATGTTAAAGAATTTGGCTTTGATGCGAATTGTGGCGTAACGTTCATCCACCGGAGTGAATGCCAGAACTCGGCAAAGGAGTCTCTCTCTCACCACGAATCCGACACCAAATTTGCAATTCTTTATATGGGCGCTGTAATAAATTTCACAAGGACCCACTTTCCTCCGTCCTTGTCCCGTCCATCGCATATCTTCGACGGCGGGATGTCAGTTTTTGATTTTATGAGGACATCAACCAGCTGGGCAGCGGCACCTTCCTAATTAAGGGACCGGACATTCCAGGTGCATAGCCTCAAATCGTAATCCTTAAAACATTTGCGGGAGTTGTCGCAGAGGGGTCTCTAGGCATAATAGAGTTTATCATTGGAGTTTATATTCCGTGTGGTGGATGCCAAGACCTACATACAACCGCATGGGATTTGCCTTCTCACTTTAGCTCGCCTCCAAACGGATGTTTGGTGGCTATCCAGAGGATCGTGAGCTGCTTGAACCATATGCCAAAGAATCATTTCTGCCCATTCCTAGGTTAATGGAAGTCAAAAACTTTCTTCACTTTCGTGAACTTTTACACATGGCCCCATCCCCCAAATTCGTTAATAACCGGGCGATTATATTTTTTCATCAGAATGGCAATTTTTCTAAATAATATCATAAAAATCCAGTAAGCGGTCACAGTAATTTTTATTGAAAATTAATAGAGATCCTTAAAACTAAGCTACATATATACAAGTATATATTCATATATGAAAGAGCTAAACCTTTTCATAAAATTAAACAGTGCATATCTGAAAAGCCTCGAAATATCTTTGTAGTTCGCTCGAAGCTCGCCGGGTCCTTCCTGGAGGACGCTTTTGACTTATTGCTAATGTCCGTATTCGTACGTGTCCTAAAGGCAGTGTTGTAGGTCCTCGAAATTACATTTCCATAGAGCGAGTTGATCATCACCGCATGTACATACTAGAATACAATATATCGACCAACATTCAGAATTATAGAAAATTAATTTTTCTTATTGCGTTCGCACCTCGGCAGAGAATGTCATGAAATATGGAAATATACATATGATCCCCATACAAATCCCTCGGTCATTCGGAGCATAATGAAGCAAAGGGCTGTCCTGACACTGGAAACATTTTTTCCATACATTTTCAGTTACCGGACTCACTGTCTGCACATTGAAATTCAACTTAAATTTCTTTCCAATAAAAGGACAGTCGATTTTACTGAAAAAACAACAATTTTTATCAAACAAAATATGTATTCCATTTCTTTTAATAATAACTAATAAATCTTCATTTCAAAATCTCTCTCCCACTAGCAAAAAAAATAACTTCTTCACACTGTTCTCAGGTGCATCAAGTAAATCCCTCTAAACAAAAACAGTGAGGAAACTTGTTGTGAGACAAATCTATTCCTGCTTTGAATGAGCTTTTGTTTGATATAAAATTTTTAACAGTTTTCTTATTGTTCTTATAATTCTCTTATCCTCTAACTTCCTGCGTTTGAAATTCCATCCATGATGTACGACCAGGAATGCCTATACAAAATGTAGTCAAGATACATTGCTCAATTTTTGATCGAATAAAGTTTAATTCTTTTCTGCCGGTATCTATCTCAATTATTTTATGCCGTTACTTACAACGATAGTGTGGGCAAACGCAATCAATACACTCGGCTACAAAATCACCAAAAAACAAAATAGAAGCGTAAAATCGAATTAAGAATCCAGAGAGGCGTTGATGATGCGGCAGGGTTAAGCATTAGTCCAAATGACTGAGCAGTATGTGATGACGCCATCGCTTTTTTATTTTCAAAACAAAAATAGATATGTTCACTCATTTATACGAGCTTTTTTTAAATTATTCACTGTGTAGGTATGCACAATCACACAAAAATAAATATGAAAACGTAAATATCTAAATGTATACATATGTATGTAAATAGGTTATGTATTTTTATGTACACTTTTAGACTTGTACACTTATGTACGCACATACATACAGCAGGCAGCATAAAAAATGAACTTTATTTCTCATTTTAAAAATATTTACGCAGTAGGAAATTCAAATGCCTTCGCAGCATAAAATTCATGTACAAAGCATATTTGGCGATAGAAAAATTGGTCGCTATTGACAAAAGTGATACGAAAAATTCGTTTCTCTATCTATAGATGTGAATATTCGGCGAGCTGTACAATGGAAAGACCGATTTCTCTGAGTATGGGAAACGCGCTCTCAGCCAAACAAACGTAAACAAAAGATCTCAATGTCATAATAAATATGTAGATATGTATATAAATATGTATGTACATATGTATATACATATATTAACAGCAGCATTGTCAACAAATCCAAAAATGTGTAAATATGTACATATATATGTATGTAGTTACATACGTGTACGTTATCGAGCAGTGTTTATGCGCAGAACAGCTGTTCAACGCTGGGCCTCTTGCGTCGCTTTTGCTTATGTCCACAATAAAAATAAAATGCCACGCATGCAGCAACGGAGGTTTCACCGGCCGGTGTACCTCAAAGATACACAAGAATTCACTGTTATTCCCAACTGAGCAAACCGTTATCAACAGCTCAGTCTCCCTCTCTCTTGCTCTCGCGCTCTTCATGTTGAACACTGTAAACCGCAGCTGAGAACGAAGTCAGCTGTTCGCTATTATCGCACAGCGTTTGTTGTACATTGTTTACGTCGCTGCACTAATCGAGCAGACAACTGGGGGCTAGAGTGAAGATGATGAAATGACAACAAAATGTATTATACACACACATAAATATGTATGTATATAATATTTCCCTCTCACTTGCTTGGTACGAATTTTTACTTTTCCTCTTGATTCCACCTTATCCTGTGGTCCCGAATCACCCTTTTTAAGCTGCCAACTTTTGTGTCCAGCACTTTTTGCAGACAATACTCGATAGTTGTACCTATGCATATGTGTATGTGTGTAAGTATGTACATATGTATATGATATGTAAGTACATAATATGTAATTTGCATGTTGGTATTCTTTACCGTTGTCATCATTTTGTTGTTGTCTCTGCAATGACCTCTATAGGCAATATACAAAGCAGTGAGGTATACTTTTTCTTAACGTTTTAACCAAAAATACATAGTATGTATGTATTGTATGTACATATGTATTACACTATGGATCTCTTGATGTCTACCCAAAAGCTCTTTTTTTTGGGGTGGGAACGTCTGTCAAGCATCAACATAACAAATACTTTGAGGCTTTCATATGCAAACACACATACATACATACATAAGAAAAAGAAAGCCGTCTACATATGTACATATATGTATGATATCCCATATATTTATGTATAATATGCTATGTATTTATGTAAATATGTGCATATACATATGTATTAACAAAGTGTATAATCATATTTGGAAAAAAAAGGTTTTGCCTAAAAATTGAATAAAAAAAGTGAATATGGCGCATTTTTACTTTTGATAAAAAATTCTGCGTAACACACAATTTTTGCTTCTGACAAGAAAGTGACCTCAAACATACCATGTATGATACACATATATATGTATATGTATGTATATACTATATTTCTCTCTTCTACATTCCGTGTCTGGGAAACTTCAACGAAATTACAATATCTTCATGGATTTTGTATGCCTGATTGCTGACACATAAAGTAGATTGCTATTCATCGAAATTAGACCAAGGCCACTATTGAATAAACTAATTTGTAGGACTTAATATGTAGGCACGGATGTCATATGGTGGAAATCTAATTCCGTTTCTTCTGCTTATTCCGCGCTCTATGTGTTTGAAGCTTTAACTTCCCAAATTCCTGATTCAGGCTGAGTAAAATTATTATAATTTTTTTATTTATCAGATATTTTATTGGTTAGAATTCTGAAAAATCTTATGTGAATCAATAAGTCTGAAGTCCTGATCCAAGAACGAGGAGTGTTGATCATCTGACTGCGCTATGTACATACATAGTATACGTATATAGGAGAAGAAAAGGGTTTTTCGTTTAACTTTTTGTGGCGATAATCCGCTAATTACTACACATGCAACCCCCAACTCAGCATTAAAATATGGGCGTCAAATTGAGAATATTAGTTTTCGGCGATTAAAAAGAACAAACCGAATTTCATCAAAGTTTCATCAATTTTGTATTGTATGTATTGTATATAAAAAAAATAATATATATATGTATTAAATATATGTTCAAAAGTGGTCTCTTCATAAGGAGCGCCTACAAGTTTGCAAATAATTGTGTTATTTGTTGCAGTTTTGTTATGATACTCTTCATTATTTTTATATCTCCTGCAGAATATCCCATTGGGAAGCCTCAGCCTTACTGCATTTCATTGATAAAAAAGGGCCGACAGAAGTAGTGATTAATTAATATCAAAATGTGAGTTTTGGAAACTCAGTTTCCGTGTGACTGCTAGGAAGCATAAAAAATTTTAAGAAAATTTTATTTCAATTTCTAGAAATTATTTTTAAGTGTCATTTTGAGAAAATAAATTTTTAGCTGGTCAAAGAGTTTTTTCTTCCTCACATTCGAGAATACTAGTGATATAAAAATAATTAGAAGAAAACTGTTATTGAAAGAAAAGATTATCTATCAAAAAACCATTACTATTTTCTGAAAAAAACACTCACATTTCTTACGACAGCTACATTACGTTATCTCAAATGTTTCATATTTCGCGACCATCAGTTGCATATTTCATTCCTGAAGTGAATATAATATTTTGAAATCAATATCAGTTGTTGTTTGTCTACCCTGGAAAGAGTTTAAAGCTAAAGCGTTCACTTGCTGGCGGATTACAAGAACAGATCTGAACACAACCCGGAGTTAATTACAAAAATTGATTGCAAAATGCATGAAGAAAATAAAAAATTGTGTGAAAACTACCACGTCTGAACGTACCTTTGAAGGTAAATAAACTAGCTGCGGTTTTTACGATAGCAAAGATTTTTAATTCGAAAAAAAAAATTTTTTTTTAACGCTATACAGCCGAATTTAAGAATTTATCTCACAACTATTTTCGAGAATCCGAGGCTAGTATTCTTTGTAATTTATATACATATGTATGTATGTAGATGTATATATTTGGCGCTTTGTAACCGCTGAAGCGATTTTCGGCCGAGCTCCTCCTACAATTTGTGAATTTTCGTCTTGATGTTTTTCCAACAAATATAGGGACCTACAGTTTATACTAAGCCACCTTCGAATGGTTGATGGTTTTTTTATGAGGAGCTCTGGATTTTCATGTCAGAAATACACTCGGAGGGGTTGACATTCCCTGCCAAGCTACACTTTTATGTATGTATATCAATTAGCAAATGTAAAAATATTTATTCTGGATTTATATGCATACATATGTATATGTATGTATGTACATATGTATGTATGTGGTTCAACGTCAGATAAATATGTACATCACACTTTGAAATCTATGACCAAATAAATGCACACATATGTACATATGTATGCACATTTATGTACACACATATAACTACAAACATTTGTAGGTATGTATGTATCCACATAAACTCTAAAGAAACAAGCAAATTCCAAGCTGAAATGAATTGTGGAGGCCAACTACATACTCTATTCAAAATAATAGCCAAAAATCAACTCTGCTACGCAATCAAAATTATAAAAGCTTCCTAAAACATATATATGTACACGTATGTATGTGCATACCTTTCAATCCCCACTTGATATTGGTTTGCGTCGTCAATGTTATATGTGTGTACAAATAAATAAAAATACATAAGCGCATATATATGACATCGTACATACATATGTACATATGTACCTACTAAGGCATTGATATCTTCAAACGCAAAGCTAATACTCACTCAACGAATTGTTGCGTTTCGCCTTTAGTTGATTCGACTCTGTGTGTTCGATTCAAAGCTACTCTAAAGCAACTCGAATGCTGGTAATCAGTTCCGAAGCGCCAAAAATTAGGTCAACTTGTCGAGAAGGCAATAACAACATTGAATATCATCTGTCCCGCTCCAACACAACTCACACATACTCCCACAACTTGAAATACATATATATGAAAAGAGTCGCAGATACATATTTACATACGTATGTATATGTGTAGATACTTTTGAGGCCGCTGAGTAGCCTAAATAGAAGCTGTGTACCGAAATTGGAGAGGCACCACATGAAGTCCGAGGCGACTGCGCGCTTTCGACTGAAGCAGCAGCAGCGGCAGCGGCGTCAGCGCTGAAAATTCCTTGTACTGACTTTGATTAAGTTTTATCAATACATACATACATACATACATACATACTTATGTACATAAGTTGCTCATTATGCTGCGACTCTCTTTTCTGCTTTTTTACAGTAATACTTAAGTATCTATGTTTACACAAACATTCATATGTATGTTTGCATGAATGTATGTATGTACATATATATCACATAAAATGTATCCACATACTTCATCAAATTTATGTCACAGTCTCTGCAACATTAAAGCACACACACACAGCTGAAGTTTATTATTTGCACATATGCACACGTATACGTATAAACATAAGTATGTGTGCATTCATGTTAAACGAAAAATAAAACGCAATAGGAAAATGGGTTGGGCTCTACTCATATGCTGATTATCTGGGCCAGAGCGAATGTACGTACATACACATGTACATATATACATACATATGTATGTACAAAATTTGATATCATGTTAGAAAATCGATAAAACATTACACTCTCACACATACATAAATAAATACCAGATAACTTAGTAGCGAGTACGAACGCTTAGCCAAGTGAGAAATCAAAACAAACTGAAAATTGGAACAGCACGAGAGCTAAATGGAACGGGATATATAAATATTTCTCTCTCAAAAGTATCTACATATGATTGTGTATAAATTTATCACATACATACATACAAATGCCGCGTATTATCTAGTTTGCAAAGTGAACAGGGAGAGAAAATGATTACAGCGACTCGATTTCTTATTTAGGCCACCACAATCTCTGTAGCACTGCTATGGCATACACAGAGTTGCCGTTTGTGAAAAACAATTCAGAGAACCAAGACGTTCGATTTTTCGTTTATTTCCTATTTTAATCAGTGCACATACAGTCATAAGATTATTGAGCACACTCCGTTCTGTCTCATGCCTCGCTCTGTGTGCAACACTCTTATAAAAGTACACACATTTTTTCACCAATCGATCCTTATTAATATCTTGGTCATTTTTTTTAAATTTTATATATTTAAAACTGTAAGGGAACTCATTTCAAAGCATAGTTCTTACTTGAAATAATTAATTAAAACAATGTTCGTTTCAAAATCATTGCAAATAAGAAAAGTCCAAGCAAAAATGTTGTGCTAAAATCTGTAATGAAGGGGGCATTCTTCCATGAATCCTCGTATTTGAGCGTTATTTTAGTTGGTCAGAAATCCAAACCACAGAACAGTGACTGGTATTATGATTAACGGTAATAATACCAAAATGGCAGATTGTTTATTACCTCTGAAAAAGTGAAAAAAAATTGGAATTTTTGTCGCCAGTGAACTATTGTGAAGTTAGGGTTGTACCCTTTCTATGTATGTAGATATTATTTCCGTCAGATTTATGAAATCCATTTTGAATTCCTTCGAAAGATTTTTGGAAACATATTTTTGGATGTGAATTTTAATGGACCCTAGCATCATTATAATTTAGCGTTACCAGGAAATAAAGAGAAAATACAATTGGCGTCTAAAAGCCGAAACTCAAGAGAACAACTGTTTTTTGTAAACGACAGCTACTTAATATTTTAATCGGTTACCATGCAATCGCTTTCCCTCAAGGCTGTCCTTCATTCTCAAAATTAACATGATACTTTGAAAAGTTTTAATTCCAATTTCATTTTAAAGCTAATAAATCGTTGAAGCTTTTACAAATTTTTGGACAAAGCTTTAATGAATTTTTTTCGACATCCCTCCGAGACTAGCCGATGTCTGTTTATTATCTAGAAAACAATAACAAAGTAAGTTAAAATTATAGGAGAAAACAAGATTAAGCTCGCTGACCTTTTTAGTTAAATGTAAGATACGGCAAACAACTCTTGAGAGCGAGGGAAAGAATTTTGTTAAAGATTTTGAAGAAAACAATCTTCAACCAAAATAATGTAATTTTAAATGTATCAATTGTACCAACTACCTTCGTGATATGGTGTTATTTTCAAGCAGACATTTAAAATAATGACCTAAAGTGGACAAGTTATTGGCAATGTAACACAATTCTACATGAATTCTCCATTTTATCAAAAAAGTCTTTAACGGATCGAGAAAAATCTTTTCCACTCGAATGCGGATTTGACTTAAAATCCTTTTCACGTTTGCCATTTTCACTTAGATTCTTTTATTCACAATTAAACAGATAAAATATCTAAAATATATGTAAAATTTTGGTAAATTAAAAAACAATAAAATGTACAAGAAATACATACCCTCCTTAATGACGAAGGGGCTTGATGGAAATTAAATGTTTGAAATAACTTTATTTATTTAAATAATACAATCAATTGAAACTATTTCCGTTGATCTTGTTACCTGTCACCCCGAAAGCTCTGTGAAGTGCTGGAAACAGATCAAATCAAATCCGACGATCAATCCCGAGATAACAACAATAATGGCTATTAGCACCAAATTACCACCGACACTCAGCTGCAAGTCAAGTTAGTTACATAGTGAACTAGTTGGCGTTAACATCAGTAAAGTCGGAAAGTAAACGCGTTGGAGATTACAATTAAGTACAGTAAATTGTGAAAGTTGATACTAGTGATTGTAAATAGTAAAGTGCATTATAATTGAGTTGTTAATTATTGAGAAAATATAGGACATTTGATTAATTCTTTATAACAAAAGAAACTGAAAATTAAGTTGGCGAGTTTTTATTTAACAATCCAGAGATCGTACCCGAAGGATTTAGAAAATAATCGAGGTTGATTTAGTAAAATCGTAACAATATATATCCTTTGGAAAAAGTTTCTTCATGTAATATTTTCACAAAGAGCGGCAACCATAACGCGAGCTGGTTGAAAGAGAATGGACGACGATTGAAACTCCAGACAGTTTAACAAATAAGAGAGTAGGCACGTGAGCTAACACTTGTTATCGCGTCAGTTTGTTTGCATTACATCTCGCTTTGGCTCATAGCTACACTGAGCATGAGCACTATGCTGCTTCCACCTAGCTGCTAAATAGCCAGCGACTGATTCTAAATAGCGAGCTGACAGCCATGAGGACATACAAACATATGTATATGAAATTGAGTATGAGTTTGTTTTGATTTTCGCAACACGCGATGCGTACTTTTCTTCTAGGACTTTGTGGAGCGAGTGTCGGATCCATTATTTGCTAAATATGTCGTGTTAATACGAAAGTATAGGAGTTTGTAGATATGCATGAATGTATGTTTGTTTACATACATATGTACATATATGTGTAGGCTTGCCCATTTTTTATGGGAATGACTCTACATTTGAACTAGCATATTACAGCCGTGTGTGGGTATAGTGAACACCTCTGGAGTACTCTAAATAGGAACAGTCGAAAACTTCGAAATAGTGAACAAATTTTTGTTTGACGGAATTTAAAGCAGAAAGCAAAAAAAAACACAAAAAAAATCAAAAATGAATTAGGGTATTCCCCTAATTTGTACTTGTGTTGTTGATTGTTACAAAAACAGCTGTTTCTTGACCTTAGAGGCTATATTTTTTTTCGAGTGCAAAGCGAGTAGCACGACAGTATTAATGAAACAGAAGGTAATTTTCATGGCAGCTCAGGATGGCTATCTGGATTTAAGTCCCGCTTTGTAATTGTCCGGCGAAAAACTGTCATGTGATACCCAAGCAGTTGAACATGTTGAGCATAAACGCAGCCGAGGTAGGTTTGTTTTGGAAGAAA